AGATTGTAATCTTTTATGTTGCATGGGAGCTTTTCTAGGTCACAGACCATGTATAAAGAAAGGAATTGAAAGAATCAGTGCAAGGAGGCAGTACCATGACTCAGGAGCTTATTTCTACATTTTTCATTCTTCTGAAAGAGTGTGGATGTTTAAAGTATCTAAAATATGCTTGCGGACATACATTGTAAGGCGCCATACGTTTCTTAACAACATGAATTTCAAATATGGGTTGAAAATAAACTCTTCTGAAATCTAATTCAAATATACAAATCCGTATCTAAGGTGGATTTTTTAAATTATTGACTTACCTAATTCTTGTATCGAATCCTATTTTAATTTCAATCGCGGTGTATCGAGGTCGCAGTCGTTTTTACAGTTGACCTTTTGCATTTATAATCATTTGCGTTTGCATAAAAAAAAAATTGTTTTCTTTCTACATCGCGATTGTGACAGTCAGTTGCAACATAACGCTTCCTTGTCACTGAAACGATACTTGCATCCGTGCAACTAATCGCACAATCGCGGCGAAGTTGGTCAGTTCAGTTTGTCTTTTTTTTTTTGTCGAAAATGAAAGCGCAGCGAATTTATCTACAATCGCGTCTATTAAAAATGTTTTGGCTATACAGTATCAGTTAAAAATATCCAGTAAAAAAAAAATCAGTTGAAAAATTAATATCGACTACTATGTTAGCCAACAATTTTTGTCATAAATACACTCTGTAACTCTAATTGCAAAAACAATAAATAATCTAGCCTATAATGGCAGCAAAATGGCTATATTTTGTTTGAGTTTTAGATAAGTAATTTTTAAGTAAGAAAAGTAGATTAAAATAAATTTTTACACGAATATTTATTAGAATTTTATTAGTATATATAAATAAATTTGTATAATAAATTTGTATAATAAATAAATTTATTGGTATATATAAATAAATAAATTTGATTTAATTTGTAATGCTACGACCTTATCAAAATTTGCAAATAAATATTACAAAACGCAATTTCACAATAAGACTAACAAAAAAATTAAATAACTTTTAAACCAATAAGCTAGAAATATACTCAAATTTTACATAGATACTCAGAGACGTAATATTAGAACAATCGATGAAATGTTTATATTTTTGTTAATGTTTTGAGATGTGACACATACATTCTTAAGCTGTTGAAATATTTAGTACCTTTTGTATCTGCAATCCTTCAAGGCAAGAAGCAACGTGTAAGTTACAGTAAACGTGACGAAGGCGCAGTGTTTCTCACGATTTCACCATATCTGTGTTTAACAGGCGTAATTCAATCGCCGTTATACTTTTACCGGTGGTTCACGAATTTAGGTTTAGGATTAACAGTGACGTCGCGCGTGTGAGAAGCTTTCAATCTAAAAAAAAAAAATTATTTATCATTTTACAATAACAATAAAAAGGACGGCTGCGATACGTTTTCAAATTGCAAATCCAAAATAACGTATCGAAAAAAATGCGTGTATTGTAATATTTTACTTGGAATTTATAATTTTAAAAAATTAATATTTCACATATTAATGAAGTTATTGAGTAATTGACATTTGACGTATTACAACAAGAAACGTGATAAATAAGTATTGATATACTTGTGCGAATATACTGTTGGAACTATTAAGACTTGTCGATGTGGGTTATCTCGTAAATAGTCAGTGTCTCCCGAAAGCCTTATCTTAATTTTCGTAAAGTGAACAAAGCTTATCTTAATTTTTATAAAATGACCGAGAAAACGCTCAAAACGAAAAATTTTTAAACCACGAACGGTCGACCAACAAATTTTGATTATTAATATTAAGATTTTGTATATAGTTACAATATTTCTAGGTAAAGGAAAGATTGTAATTATTAGGTTTTTTGATAGCAAAACTGTTCAAATGTCGACGTTTCTTCGGCGACTTTTGAAAAGTTCTGCTTTCAAGTGATGGTATTTTCTAAGATGGAAGAGAGAATGTAAACGGTGTCAGTGTTCTGATTTTAAGATGTTATTGTAAACGATCTGGAGGTATTCTGTTATACTATATTGCATTCTTTATTTTTACAGAAAGAAATTTCAGAGTTCAAGATATGATATTTACATAAAAATATCTGATATATATCGAATATATATCCAAATGTGATTATTGATAAAATTTTTATATCTTAGAAAGTAAATCTAGAATTATGTGTCGTAGTCTTTATTGTTACCAAAAAATTATTAAACATTTTTTTTATAGACAATATATTCTATTCCTTATAGAAAATAAATAAGAATATAAGATGTATGTGTAGATAAAAAAATATCATCAAAACAGTATTTTCAGCAACTACTTCAGCCATTATTTGAAAAAATTATAATATAATTTTATTACGTGATGTAAAGCCGATAAAATTACCAATTACGAAGATCCAGAAATAATAACAAATAAAGTGAAAAAATCCTCTAAACTAATTATTATTAGGAAAAAACCATGTATAATCAATAATACACAGCGTTGTAATTATTTAATTTAAATTGTCAGTTTAATGAAATTATGTACGGTATACATCGTAAGATATATGTCAATAAATATCATAAATAAACAACATATATCGGATATATATTATTAGCTGTATTCAGCGGAAAAAGCAATTTTGCAACTATTGTAAAATTCTTTAATGTGATTAGTCTTGGTTTTTCACTATATCTAATTGTAAACGTATAAATCAATCATATTAAAAAATATTGCAACATCTGTAAAGTTGCTTTTATTGATACATCACGAAGAAAAATAATAATTTTATTATAAACGCAAAAAGTTTGCAAAATTGAATTATCAAATTTGTTTGCTGTTTATAGCAAACAAATTTGCATATTTGACAAATGCTTTGCATTTGTTGCAAATAATTTTTTGTAGCAAGTGTAAAAAAATAAATATTCGTTACACCTGCGAATAATTTTGCGATCCCGATATTTGCAAATAGAATTTATCGTCATGGTATAGGATCAGTGTTCATAGCAAATTTTTTCTTTTCTTCGACTTTGAAAAATTTAGAATACATGTCTAAATTATATGGTTTCATCAAATTAATTTTGATAAGGATATCCAAAATTCCTCTCCCTCTCTATACTTTATCCGTGGCCTCTTTTCTCTAGATACAATAAGAGTTAGATAGAAGAAACTGATTGTGATAAAAAAAAACTAAATTCTAAGTAAATAAATTCTAGATAAGCATGACGTTTCTCTATTTTAATCGTATCATCCTTATTTTCATAGATCGTCCACGTGTCGGAATTAATTATCGCGCAGCGCAAAAAAATGACTCGAACGATCCTCGATGATAAACCGACGCGAACAAAATCGCCAATCCTCGACACGGCCCTGTTTACAATTAAAACTCCCTACTTCGACCTCCATTTTGGGTTCCTACTTCCTGCATTTGTTTACCGAAGCAAGCGTACCGTCATTACGACCGTGCAACAAAAAGAGGAGACTGGTAACCCATCCACATATGTGGGTTCGTCCGTACAGGACACTACATTTCACTAGAGGAGCGAGCTCAAGAAGACTTGTGTGCGGCGCGCCGGTGAAAAAGGAAAAGATCGGAGAAGGGGGGTGAGGTGACGAGGAGAGACGTGAGGGCGCAGTGATACGGCCCTGACACCATCGTTCTCCACGAGCGTGTCGCAAGCGTGCCACTAGCGCGTGCCGCACTAAGGAAAAAGCACGCGAGGATTCCCAGTAATAATCAACCGATGCGACGTGCAATCACGCATATTCGCGTCTCTCTCTCCTTTCTTACCGCTCGCTTCCTCGCTCGCGCTCACACATGCACGCGCACGCACGCCACGGGCAGAATCCGACCGGTCGGGACTCCCGCCATTTCTACGCGATGGCCCGTCGAACAGCTGCCGACCGCGACTGGTCATCAGTGGTCCGAGTGGTCATCCCGTGATCCCCCCGGACCGGACCGGACGAACGGTTGCCGCTGCCGCAAACACATGCACTCGGTCTCGCGCCGGATTGCCGCGCTTATTTAAATTCACACTGACCGTTCGTTCGGCGCACCGGCGAACACCTGCGGTAGCACCCGCGGCTCCCAACGTCACCCACGACACGTCGGCGTTGTTCGTGCGTGAGCCGACGATCCGTTCGCGTGCACGCAGTGTTTATTTCAATCGCGACGCGACGTCACCGATCTACTCCTCTTACCACCGTCGGCGAAACTGCCAAGATGGCGACCGCCGTCACGTGACTCGCGACGTTTTATGACGTCGTGCGAATGTTAAAGGGCCGGCGGCCGGCCATTCGCGTTTGTTGCACGTCGTCACGTGACTCTGTCCACGTGCGTGTCCAATGGGAGAGGTGCTTCCCTAAAAATAAGGGCGAATTACAGTCAAAATGGCGTAAACGGGGTGAACACGATTGTCACCACGTCCGCCCTTTTCAATGATGTGGAATTGATACGACGATTCGCGTTGTATTAGAGAGAATTTGAAAAGAAATTTTTGATAAAAGTAATTTTACATGTAATAGACTTTTTCGTTTGCATTACGTATCGCGAGAGATTCTGTCAGCGTTCCATATACGTAATTTTTATTTTAATATTTCTTAACCTTAATTACATTACCAAATACGTTTTAACCTAATCTACAACGCGTAGATACTGTAGATTATTTCTTTTCTTCCTGTTTCTTGTTTTATGCCTCGTGACTTTCCTTCTTTTCAATCGTTTTATCGATAATCGCATTTCTTGTCTCTTGAAATATGTCAACTTTTATCTCGGACGACGAAAAACGAAAATTTCTTATGAAATATTTTATAACTCAGTCTTCCACAAGTGCTTCTCTGGTAATATTATCAATAATTCTTAAATTGATAAAATAATAGTATTAATTCATGTAAATTTTGTCATATAATTTTAAAATTACAATATACACCATAAAGTATTTACAAAAAATATTATTTATATATATATACTGCAAAAAGGAATATATACATTCATCAAATATTAAGAATTCACATTCAACACCATCCATCATCGTTCCTCATCATTGTCATTAGCATCGAAGGACAGGACGATTTTTTGCTTTTCTCTTTTCGCTTTCTTTTTCACAGGTTTATCTGTGGCAATTGTATCAGAATCTGTTTCTGCTCCTTTTGTCCTGCGAAATATGACCTTCTTAGATAGATCAGCTGGGGCATTATTTTCTTCTGCAATTGATAATTTTGATAGATCAACATAAATTAAATGCAATTCATGAGATATTTAATTACATGTTTTGCTATATAATGCCATATTCAACACTACATATAGATTTAGAGTAGTCTCTATATTGAATCTATACCTTTTTCTTTCTGTTTTTTAAAAGCATCTGCTTCTTCCGCTGTCAAATCACCAGAATTTAACACAACAACAACAGGTTGCTCATCAGCCAACTCTTCCTTTTCATCATCGGATACTTTTGGTAGGACTTCTCTCTAATTTAACAAGTGAATATATTGTTAATTCTATACTTGCTACATTTTTATGTTTGTTTCTATGTAGTGTAGATTAACTTTAATCTCAGTTCAACTTATCATTCATCTTTGTTTAGTGTTAAGAACTAGAAGAAGATAAAGAATAGAATCGAGAAAAAAGTTGAAGCGTGATTAAAATTAATCTGCATTAATGGGTACAAGCCTTAATTTTACAAAAAAAAGTAAACAAAATAGTATTGAGCATGAATGTTCAGACACAACAATTTATAATTATGACACATAAAAAACTTAAGCAGTAATACATAAACAGTAAACGAATTGGTCAATCACAATAGAAACCGTAAGACAATAACATAAACTGTAGGTAAATCCAAAATATTAATTTGCTTATTGTTTAAATTTTGTGTGTGCCATATTCTTTGTAGATAATCATACTTTCGTGTCAACAGTAGGACCTTCTTTATATCCAATTTGTTCCTTCAGTTCTCGTAGAAATTTTGGTTCATTTGGTTTGATATATGATACATTGTGTTTTTTTCGTGACATAATTTTGTTAACGTGACGTCCTCCACAAAAGATCGTTTGAAAAACTATAACCTATCACACTACAGTAGTAACCGTAAACAGAGCTCTCCGTCAGTCTACTTTTTCTTAAATTTCCTATTTGAATTTCCGATCCACTACAAAGATCACAGGACCATACGACAAAGAAGAATCCAAGGAATAAGGATTCAACTCCGATGATAACCTCCTCAGGGAGCAGAGGATTTGTTTGTTCACGGTTCACGGCTGCTCACGCCGCTCACGGCTTATAATTTGCAACCCTATTGTACAACAGGCTTTAGTCTTAAGCGGTTCTTAAAGCCGGTTCTACATTAGTTGCAAGCCGATCGTAAGTTTGTAGCGACAGCCAATCTGAAGCTTGCATTTTGAAATCAACGCTTGAAGGCCCGTCTACAATACACGGAGTAAGAAATAAGAGTAAGAAATTGACCAATCACAGTCGAGTATTCTTCTCACATTCGACTGTGATTGGTCAATTTCTTACTCTTACTTCTTACTCCGTGTATTGTAGACGGGCCTTGAAACTCAAAACGCTCAAAACTTAAGTAATAGCATTGTAGAAAGTCTATCATATTCGATTACCCCGGATCTACAATAGGGTTTTAAGCCTTAAGCTATAAGAAATGGGCGAATCACAGTCGCATATTCTTCTCGAATTCGATTGTAATTGGTCAATTTCTTATGGCTTAAGGCTTAAATCATCTATTGTAGATCCGGACT